GATATTGACCACAAAATAATCAAGTGAGCAGTTGCTCTGGAGGTGAAAAAATTAAATGTTTCTGGAGGTGAAAAAATTAAATGTTTCAGATACGGATAAGAAGGGCATATGGCAAAGGTTTGCCGAGTAACGCTGCCTACTCAGCAGGGAAACTCCAACCGGCCCAGTCTAAGATGCTAGACTGGAATGCCGAAAAACAAAGAAAGATAAATAAAACACAAAAAAGGGAACCAGCATCAGAAGTAAAAGTTGAAGTCCAAAGGAATGTATTAGAAAAAAAGAAAGAAAATAAATTAACCATAATAGAAGCAAAAGAATCTCATAACTTGAAAGTAAAAAGCACAAAGTTAACAAATATGGCAGATTATACTTATAAGAAATTTAAAGAACAATTATCAAATGAATGTAATAAATATTTGGGAATTATTGTAATACATGTACTGATTATATGCATGTTAATAATGGCAGTTTTTTCAACACTCTGTGAGCAGTTGAAAATCAATAAAAATTGGATGTCTCAGAATTTTCGAATACCACGGGTTACGGAAACGAATTACAATACCATGGACGGTATTAGTCAATCGTTCGATGATGCCTATATAGAAGTACCTTGTAAACTGGCAGTGGGCAATAAATTGCTACTTCTAGTGGATTCCGGAGCTGACACAAGTTTGATAAAGTCCGAAGCGTTATTAAATAAAGCACATATAAATAAACGCAATACAAAGGGACTGATAGGAGCTTTTGGTGGTAACATAAGTACATTGGGTACAGTAAAAATAGAGCATGAGGAATTTACTGAGTTAAAATTCAACATGCATGTAGTTCCATTGGGAAGCCAAATACCAGCAGATGGATTACTGGGAAGAGATGAACTATGGAATCGTTCAACAATGGATACAATTGGAAAGGTTTTAAAATTTAATAATACATAATAAGAAAGAAGTGGCAATTTTATTACTGATAGACATTGGAGATCACGGTCGGATTTGTATAACTGAATGTATGGGAAGACATTTTAAAATATATACGGATCATAAGCCATTACGTAGAATTGCTAACTTAAAAGATCAAGATAAGCGACTGGGAAGATTTCGTTTGAAGTTACTAGAACACAATTTCGAGATTTTTTATAAGCCGGAAAATACTAATAAAAATGCGGATGCTTTGAGTAGACTTCCAATAGCGGTTATAACAAGGGGTAAAGCAAAAGAGGCGGAACTTGCAAAAAACTCAAATACAATTTCAGTAAAAAACCAAGAGGAAATAGATAATTCGATAGCACATACCCATGAAGATTTTGCAGTGTACTTAACAAATAAAAAAGACATTCAGGAAGTTTTGAAAAAATTTCATGATTCACCAATAGGAGGTCATAAAGTGGTAACTAAAACTTATTTCCGAATAAGAAAGCAGTTCAAGTGGGCAGGCATGCAAAAACAAATAAAAGAATACATAACAGCTTGTTATAAATGTCAAAAGAACAAAAGCTCAAAAGTGGAGAGATTACCACTGATTCCAACTGACACGCCCCAAAGACCGTTTGATAAAGTATTCATGGATATAATAGGTCCATTACCAACTACGGAAAGTGGGAATAAACTCATCTTGAATTTTCAAGATGATTTCTTAAAATATCTAATATGTACTGCGTTACCAGATGCAGAAGCCTCAACGGTGGCGAGAAAGTTTTTTAACGAAATTATCGCAAAGTTTAATATTCCTAAAGTTTTAATAACGGATAATGGAACGAATTTTACATCAAAGTTTTTCAAGGAAACATGTAAAATTCTAGGTATTAAAAAACTTCAAACTACACCCTATCATCCACAGGTAAATGGAGCTCTAGAACGTAGTCATAGACCTTTAGCAGAGTTCCTGAGGAATTTTGTGAAAGAAGATGGGTCAAATTGGAATGAGTGGTTACATCATGCAATGCATGTACATAATAATACAATGCATACAATCACTAAACAAACACCTACTAAAACGCTATTTGGTTTTGAATTCGAGATACCAATAAGTTTAAAGTGAAAGCCAACTCCAGTTTATAATTATGACGATTATTCTAAATTGTTAAAACACCAAATACAACGGTCATATGAATTAGTAAGGAAGAACCATAAAATAGCTAAAGAAAAAGCAAAAGAGTACTATGATAAAGGAACTAAAAATAGAATGTTCAAAATAGGGGAAAAAGTGTAGTTGAAAAAACCAAATAGAAAAAATAAATTCTCGCCTATATGGGAAGGTCCTTTCCAAGTTACAGAAATACCTACTCCCGTAAACACGAAAATAATTATAAAGGGTAGAGAAAAGACTTTTCACAATAATCTTTTAAAACTACATAAGACATAGTTAGAACTAGCCCTAAGAATTATAGTACACAACAAATTTTAAAGCTATTTTATTTTTTCTACAGTTATTTTTCACCGGAATAGTATTGATAAATTCCGAATTGTATGTGGAGAAGATAGAAACGAATCTGGGATATACGGAAATCAACGTTGGAAAAACTGAGATTGTCAATAAATACAATTACATTTTACACCCATACGAAATTGGACAGTTGTTAGAAAGTTTTAAATATACAGTGAATAGGACAAATAAACATACAGGTTACAGAACATTGGTAGATTCAGAAATTACTTTAACGGAAAATATGTATGTTACATACCTTACTACCCCATAGAATGAAAAGAGGATTAGTATATGCAGGAGGACGTTTGTTTAATTGGGCATTTGGTACCTTAGACGACGAAGATAAAACTGCGATAGAGGGACACATTAAAGCATTAGAACAAAATAATCATGACTTAATATCGGCTGAAAATCAACAGGTATTAATTAATGATAATTTCAATAAAACTCTAGTGGGTCTCAAAGAAGTGATGAAACATGACAGGAAAGTAATTAGAAATAACGTGAGGCAGTTTGATGAAGTTCGTTTAGGGATAATAGAGGAAAGTGTAGCGATTATGCAGCTTTTCTCTATAACAAGTTTAAGAAGGCAAGTAGAAAAAATTTAACAAAGTGTAGCATCGGCTAAGTCAGGAATGATTCAACCGAACATTTTAAGTAGAGAAGAGATACAAAGATTTGATATTGACATCCAAAAACGTAAACAAATAAAGTTAGGAACAGCCACGTTTAAACAAAGATCAATAGTGTTAGTAATAAAGGTGCCATCGGAAACAATACGGGTAGAAAAAAGATTAATTGTACCGATACCAGATAAGCAAAATAATCAGATAAATACAGATCTAGAAACAACAGTAGAAATAAAGGGAACTAGGTATAGATTTGAAAATGACAAGTCCATTTTTGAATTAAAGCCAAGTAAAAGTTGTGTTTTTACAGGTAAATGTACTGTAACTAAATACCTAGAAGAAAAGGTATTAGAGATTGACAGTAACATGATAGTAGTATTAAATATGAATAATGGTCAGCTTAATAGCACTTGTGATCACAGAAGGCTATCAATTAAGAGACATTATTTTTTAACATTTAATAATTGTTCGGTACAGGTTAATAATATTATTTTCAGAAACACTGTAGTGAAAATAGATCAAGTTTTTGTTTTACCGCCCACCAACATAGAAAAACTGGAACCCAGAAAACAATCTTTAACGTTTGAAGAAATTGTAGTTAAACAAAGGGAAAATTTGAAAAGAATTGAAGAATTACATTTCCATAGAAAAACGTTAAACGCAGTTGGAGGTTTATCAGTAGGGGCAATTATAGTGTTATCTTTACTATTGTATGTAATATATTTAAACTTTGGTTTAATTTAAATCTGGTAGGTCTTCGATGACATAACGGTCATTATCGAGAACTTCGGTGACTACGAACGGTCCTTTATATCGACATTCAAGTTTGCGGGACGTGCCTGTGGATGCTGGTTCTCGTTCTGCTAGAACTAAATCACCTTGCTCATATTTCGTTGGTTTCCTGTGTTTATCGTCGAAACGCTTTTTCGCGTTTACCCGTTTACTATCGGTGTTATTAGCAGCAAGTAATCGTCGGGGTTGGAGTTCTTCTTGGGTGATGGGAATAGTATCGTCTTCATCTTGGAGAATTTGGATCAGCTTTTTACCTAATATGTCGCGTGGCTTGAATCCAAAAAGCAATTCGTTTGGAGATTTTCCCGTCGTTTGGCTAATCAGTGAGTTCAATGTACATTGAATGCTTCGTAGTTGCTCGTCCCAGGTTCGGTCATCTTGTGTTGAGGGTTGCAGCATGGATAAAACGGTGCGATTAAATCGTTCGACTTGGCCATTGGCTCGTGGCGTACGGACTGCGTTGCGTATGTGTTTGATTTGTTGATCGTTACAGTATCTTTCGAATTCGTTTGACGTAAAGGCGGTACCACGATCACTTATTATATTTTCAGGGGTTCCAACGTAACTGGTAACTTCATTCAGAATGGCGATGACTTGTTTAGTGTTCGTACTTTTCACTGGTGTAATGTTATCAGGATCGCCATGTAATGTTGTTCATCAATGATGGCAGGATTGCTAAGGGATTAAGAGCCCCAAAAGGTTTCGACCTAGCAAGGATAAGTATTAATCTGAGCTCTTCAGCCGCCTTTAAGTACTTTCTAAGCTCTTCAGCCGCCTTAATGGTATTACCAGCAGATATGCCGCATATAACCAGAGATTCAAAATACAGTTTATTCTTGTTGCCTATGCAAAAGAATCTAAAAGAATCTTATTTATTTGTAAAATCTTACTCTATTTATACAAAATATTCTTATGTACTAAACTTATTATTTATTTCCTATATATTCTTGAGTAACCAATCAATGCATTGGTTACTCCCAATTTTTGATAAAGTATATGATTTTTACATGTAAGATATTCATAGTATCTATTATACTATTCTAACATATGTTATCTATTTCTTATGCATTTTTACTTGTATATATTATTATATATATTATTCATAAGGTTTAACATTTCTCTAAAGGAATTTGTGTTACTACCGTACAATGACCACATATGATAAAACGTTTGGCTCGCGCATCATGTTACGAGTGCACAATCATAACGGCGTGAGTCAAACAAAATTTAAAAGTGTAATATGATCAAAGTCAAAACAACAAAGCGACAAATGTGCATTCAATAAATTATGTCACAATTGTTTTGTTACTTTATGCAATGACTTGTCATATTAAACAATGATGTAGGTCATGGGCACCACACCCTACCCCTTAAGAAAAGTGTAAATTAATTGTAATTTCTACAAATTTAAATTAATTTATGATATTAATTATTTTATTTATTGTTTTTATCTTATTTATTTTAGTGTCAGATCCACTATGATACTAATCCATATCAAAGCAAAATTTTTATTTAAAATTTACTATTTGTATAGTATATATTCATTAACATGTTTGAATAAAATATTTTCATTAACATATTTAGTATAATATAGTGTTTTTAATTTGTATTTTGTATATAATAATGATATGAGATTAATAATAACATATTTTGATATTAATATATTAATTTA